CCATCGTATCTGGGATTTCTGCTGGTCAGTGCAAGCCAATGGAGCTCTTCCAAAACTGTGTTTCTATAGATGCTTCTGTTCTGCAAGATGTTAATACATGTTATAAGGGGAATAAGAGTCTGTGGTCAAGATGGTTTTACAGATCATGTGCTAAACAAATCTGCCCAGTGTTCTGTACTGCAGGACTTCCCAGAGTCTTTAATAGATTAAGACACAAGTGGGATTTTCCAAGAGCAAGAGGGAGCGTGCAGAATTTCCAAAACTTTTATTGACCATGGAGGTCTTTTGTCCAAGAAAATCTTGAGGATCTGGAGTGGAAAGTGTATGAGTTAAGAAGTTCAGGACTGCCACATATGATCTTTACTCTCTCTTGAAAAATCTTATCCAATAGTGGCAGCAAAATCCTGAGCACAATGTTATTAAGCCATTCTGAAAATTGCTTTAACAGCATCCACTTGAGCACGTTTAATGTGCTACCCATCAGTGAGTCCATCTCTAGGGGAAATAGGAGATCTTCCCTGGAGATCCGTACCAGGAGGTTTTGCTTTATCCTGGATCCCTTTTACACCATCAGTTTGAAAGTTATAAAAAGGAGCAATTTTCAATGATCTTTGAGGTTAATGCACTCATTTATTCAATAAATATTTATTAAGCACTTTCTGTGTATTAGGTTTATGAACATGAAGCTTATATTTTAGAGAGAAGAACAGTAAACAAGCAAACAAGTGAAACTGATTTTAGACCCTAACATGAGGGATGGAGGAGAGTGATGGTTATGTAACAGACAGGAGCAGGTTCGGGATGGGAAGGAGTCAAAGTTTGGGTACCCATATTTGGGTAGTCACAGACAAGGACGCTGAGGAGCTGATGTGTGAGTTAACAGCTGAAAGATGAGAAGGGGCCAGGCAGGAGAACAGGTGGGGGGCAAAAAGAGACAGAGGGAGAAGAAACAGCAAGTTCTTAGAGTCTAAACTGGGGACTCATTTGCAGGGTTCATAGAACACGTACGAAAAGTCATTGTGTCTGGAGCACAAAGAAATGCCAAGTGAGGGAAGAGGGCAGGAGCAGATCCAGATGGAACAGGATCTACACGCCATGGCAAGGAGTTTGGATTGTGTTCTAAAGGTAACAGGAAACCACTGAATGATTTTAAGCAGAAGAGTGATCTTATCTGGTTTATATTTCTATAAATATGACTCTAGCTTGCTTTTTGAAGAATCTCAAGGAGGGCATGGTCACAAGCAGGAGGTGAGAGGTGGCAGTGGTCATAATGATGACACAGAAAGGGGGAACAAATTTGAAATACATTTAAAAAGGAATTTCTTCCTGCATTAGTTCTCTCAGGCCCCACCTGAATTGTAAATTAAAATAACTGGATATCCAATCATAGTCTAAGTCAAATAAGAGAGCTCATTAATAATCTAATTCTGCAATTCTACTGTAAGAGGGGACAACGGACCCCAAAGTGAAGGCTAAGTTTTAAGAAAAATAAATAAATAAATTTCACATGGTATTGTTCATAATGGTGAAATAATTAGAAACAGCCCAAATTCCTAACAGCAGGGGCCGTGTTAGAGACAGTTATGGTGCATAAAATAGATTGTTTTCAGAAGAATTTATTGACATAAAAATGTTTAGGATATGACATGAAGGAAAGTGATGCAGATTGGTAGTGAGGAGGGGGAGGTTATGGACTTGGATCAAGAGTATTTTGGGGGGCTGGATTTGTAGAGAGGATGTGGGAAGGAGATTCTTGGTGAATAGTGGAAGGACAGAGACAGACAGTTCAAGCTGAGTGGAATTACAAGTGACCCTGAATGCCCAACCCATAACAAATATAAGACAGCATTTATTCAGTTCCTAATACATCAGCTAAGCAATCCAAGGTAGCCTACATCCATCATTTCATCAGATCCTTACAGCAATCCTCTGATGTAGGGATTGGCATCCCCATTCTACAGAAGAGGAAACTGAGGCTCAGAGATATCCAATGACTCTTCCAAAGCTAAGCAAGTTGAAACTGACTGGGCTGGGATTAGCACCCAGACCTTGCGTATCTGAAAACAACTAGTCTTTATCATTACACAACGTTTCAAGCTGGGGTTTACTACATGAGTTCCAAAAACAAACTCCATCATCAACTTCTGCCTCCATTTATGACCTCAGCTTAATGTGTAGATCTTGGTTTTTCACTGGATACAGCAATTCGAACATTAAGACAGACATTATCTCTTCAAATAGCAAGTGTCTACTTGTGTGCAGACACTGATTTAGACCCAGAAATGCAAAGATGACTCAAATAATAAGACAATTCCTGCCTTCAAAGAACTCTCTGTCTAGCTAAGGACAGAGCCAGCAAAAGCAAATGATACTACACAAAAATGAAGTCAGTGCTTAACACATGGTAAAGATACGGGAGAATTCAGAGTGCGCTGTGACTGTGACAATGTCTTCACCAACATACGCCATGCAAGTTGAATTTGGAAAGACAGGAAAGACTTCACTAGTATAGAATATAATGGTTTAGTAAAAAAGTTTGGGACTCTGACTGTTTAGTTCCTCCTGGCTCTGCTACTTACTAGGGCATCCCTTTGGGCAGCTCTCTGTGCCCCAGAGACATCATCTGTGAAATGGGTGCTATCACTGTACCTGTTTCACAGGGTTCCTGCGGATCCAATGAGGTAAGACACGTATAGTGCTTAGCCTGCTGCCTGGAGTGAGTAAGTATTAAATGACAATGACTGCTCATAGGGGTTTTCCTGCAGAGAAAAGGGCATGAAAAAGAACATGGAAGTGGGGACACATGGACTTGGAAGAGCAGCAGAGAGATCGGAGCTCTGCAGTGGCCTGAAATGCCATTTTCATAGCACAGACACTTCTGAAGACACTGAACAACCACTGAAGCTACAGGAGAAGGGGAGTGACAGAATCAGAACCAAGTTATATGAACTAGAGACGTAGGAACCAAGAGGAAGAGGCACCTGCTGGAGACTACTGAGTGAACTGAAGGACAAACAGACAAGATTCGGAAATCGATGGCAATGATGAGGGGTTTCGTCCCAGATACAAAGTCATACAAAAGGCCAGAGAAGCAGTAGATGATGATGATGACGATGATGATGACGATTTGGATGAATTATCAGGGAGACAGGGGCATTGGTTCTGAGCACAGGGAAGCAAGGGAAGAGGGCACAGCTCTTCCTGGCACCTTCAGAACCTGGGCACAGCAGCTGACACCCTGGCCAGAGGCGCTGGGAGGACCTACCTCGGGACCTGCTTCTTCTCTTCCTCCTCCCTGCCGAGGCGCTGCGTGGTGCTGGCTGCAGCCGACCGATCTCGATGGGCGTGTTGGCACGGAAACTCTCCTTGAACTTCTGCATCAGGGACTCCACTGGCTCCTGCGTCACCTCGGCTGCCGCTACAGGGTGGGCAATGGGGCTAAGGTTAGGGCTTGGCCCACCCTCAGTCCCTGGAGGACTGGGCCTGGCCCCCCTGAGTGTCTGGAGCTCCCTCCCTGACCCAGCAATGATGCAGAAGCCACCGGGACTAGTCAAGATGTACTTGCTGGCTTATGCATTTATTTCCTTAGCACCTAGAATGTACTCAAGGGCACTGCCCCATGCCCTTGAAATATGATGTTGGAAGTTAGACACAATCCTTGATTCAAGGAATCCATAGCTTGGTAGGATACATATCCAGGCATTTCCAACACTGTACAATACTTCTGTGACAGGAGAGTACAGAATACTAGAGGAGCCACAAGGAGGGTCATCTCACCCACCCTGGGAGTCAAGGCAGGCTTCCTGGAGTAGGCAACACCTACCTACACTGAGCCTTTAAACATGAGTAGGAATCAGCAAAGGAGACAGGATCAGGGTAGAGTTGCCAAAAAGATTTGGAATGAGAGTGTCCTGGGTGGAAGGAGAGGCATATGCAAAGATCTGAAGCCAGAGAGAACATGGTGCTTGAGCAGCTAGCTGTTAAGGCGTTCACTCTGGCTGCAGCAGAGCATGTAAAGAGCAATTGAGGCTGCAGAGGTCAGAGCATCTCGTAAGCAACCTTGAGGAGTTTGGATTTTATTCCAATGGCAAAAGGTAATCATCAAAAGATTTTAAACAGCAAACTGGCATGTTCCAATTAAGTCCCTTAGACAACAATTACTAAGTAGAGTACAGAGAATGCACATAGAGACAAGGAGAAAGGCCAGCGAGAGGCAATGATGGCCTTAACAGAACAGTGGCAGTAAAGGTAGACGGCAGGATGTGCGTCAAACGACGTTTCAGGAGACACAATTGCGGCACTGTGATACGTAGACCGCTTGGTACAATAGCCCCATTTTACTCAGGGAAATTGAGGCCCTCCAAGCAAGGCAAACAACTTGCTCTCAGCTAGCAAGTGGCAGAGTCAAGCCTTCTGACTCCTACTCCAATGTTCCATTTGCATCAACACCCTCCAATAATCTGTTGGTAGCCAGAAATTTCAATATTTAAACTGGTACAAAGTTCCAGAAAATGGACAGAGTGTGGTCAAAAGGGCAGAGCAAAAAAAAAAAGGTAAGAACATAAAAGTTTAAAAAAGCAGGAAAGCTTGAGAAAGAAGGAGAGAGGCAACATAAAAGGCAAGGAGAGGAAATGAGAAAGAAGAAAAGAAAATCAGCTGAATGGTCTCAATGCCTTTGTTCTGAGAAATCCCCAAAGAGAGCCCCGACTTTGAAGTCTTCAAACTCAGCCCTCCCTCCGCCTTTGTCTCTAGAGGCTGGGAGAGCTCTTCAGTTGGAGTCACCTGCTGTTTGATGCCAAGGAATGGGACATGCCAAAGATTCCTGTTTCTTTGATGAGGTTTCACTAGCCCGGACAAACAAGGCTTCTGAACATCCCAACACCAATTCCAAGGGGCTTCTGTTCTCCCAGGGAAGTTTATCTGCCTAGACACAGGTGTGTCTGCAGGGTAGCTCACGCCCAGAGGGCTGGCTTGGGTACTGGGCTCTGTGAGAGGTCCTGTCTTTGGGGACCTAGGGGGAATCTGTTTGCTAAGAAAAAGACAACTGACAATACAAATGACCTGCCGTAGCAGTATGACTTCTGTTCTTGCCTCCCTTGCTGTCTCTCCAGGTACCCCAAATAGGTCTACTGAAAAGTAAGCCAATAATAAAAACCCAGACATGAGCCCCTTAATCCAAACCTACAACACAGAACCTTCCAGCAAGAGGCTGCAATCCAATTCTGAGACACACTCTCATGCCCAATCCTGATGCTTTAAACCCAGAAAGGAAAGTGATTTGCACAAAATCTTAAGAGTTGGGCTATACTGTGGTCAAAAGTCCAGAGCATGCCACAGTCTGAAATCCTTCAAGGGAGGGACACATACAGGTCTGTCAACATTCATGCATTCATTCATCTACTCACTCACTCATTCATTCATTCATTAAATAGTATTTGCAGAAAAACCTCCTGTGATGAGCATAGGAGGTATGTCTTAGTCTGCCTGGGGTGCATAACAAAAGCCACAGACTGGATAATGTTAACAGGTCAGGTTCTGGCTTGAATATGGCTGCCTTCTCACTGTGTGCTCACCTTGCCTTTCCATGATGCATCCACATAGGGGTGGGAAGAGAGAGAGAGAGAGAAATCTTCCTCTTATAAGGACACCAGTCCTATTAAATTAGAACTTCACCCTTATACCCTCATTTAATTTTAATTACCTATCAAAAGCCCTGCTTCCAAATACAGTCACATTGGGTTAGGGCTTCAGCATGTGAATTTTGAGGATACACAATTCAGTCTATAGCAGACTGTATTTGGAGATAGGATCTTTAGGAGGTAATTAAGAATTAAATGAGATCATAAAATTGGTGCTCTAATCTTATAGCACTGTGGCCTGAGGAGAACAGAAAGATCCCTTTCCCTTCCTCTCTCTCTCTCTCACACAGATAGATACCAGCAGAAGGCAGCTGTCTGCAAGCCAAAAAGAGAGCCCTCATTACAACCTGACCATTCTGACACCTGGACCTCAGACTTCCAAACTCCAGAACTCTGAGAAAGTTAATGTCCACTGTTTAAGCCACACAGTCTATGGCATTTGCCTGTGGCAGTTCGAGTAGACTAAGTCACAGTCACATGGAGGGTTAAGGTTTCAATGCATGCACTTGAGGAAGACACGAATTTTCACTCCATAACAGGATACAATGGTGAAAAACACAAACCAACAAAACTCCCTCATGGTGCTCACCATATAGACAGGAAGACCACTACTAATGAAATGAGTGACAGAGAAATGTAAAATTACAAGCGATGTGTACCATAAAAGAGAGGTGAAAGATGATATCAGAGGCTATGTTAGGGGATTAAAGCCTCGTCTAGGAAAACCATGGAAACTTGCTTCAAGGGAGTAAGTAGTGTGACTAAGATCTGAAAAGTGTATGAGTTAATCAGGCAGAAAGGGAGCTATAAGGGAGGGAAGAGGTAAAGAAAGCAAAAAAGTCAGAGGAAAGAGTCTAAACAAAGACCTCCTTGGGGAGAAGGAATGTGGAAGGGGCTGCAGTCACCACTGGGGCTGAAACACTGGGGGCGTGAGATTATTCTACAGCGGCATGAAGCTCTGACACTAATGCTGACTCTCACCTTCACCCTTACCCTCACCTTAACCCTAATTATTCTGGGCTTGTGGAGGATAGAATATACTGAAGGTATTAGATAGGAAAGTGACTTGATCAGATCTTCATGTAGGGAAGATTGCTCTGGCAGGAGACAGAATCCATTGGAGAAGGACAGAAATGGAAGTGGGAAGACCAAACAGGAAGAAGGAGCAGTAGTCCAGGAGTCCGTGTAGGAGATGACAGGGGACAGGGGCAGAGACAGAGAAGGAGACAGAGCAGTGGAGAGAGCGGGGACAGAAATGGTGGAGTAGCGGCGGTGGAGGAGTGTGCAAGTCTGAGTGACTCTGCGGGTACAGCTCCCTCCGAATGCGGAGAGTTACTGGGAAGAGGGGGCGAGGGAGAGGGAGGTGTAGAGGATGATCCTGACATCCTCGGAGGCAGAACAATGGTACCTCTCAATGAGAGGAAGGGCACTGGAAGAGGAGCTTGGTTTTAGGTAAGCACACTTGGTGCCGCCCAGACGTCTAAGTGGAGTGGTGTTGAGTAGACAGTAAGTTAAGTGGGCTTTGCACTCCCAGGGGAGAGCTGGGCTCTGTGGAGACTCTACATGCATTCTTTGGAAAAGGGAGAGAGTGAGTGGGTGTGGTGGTTAAGAACATAAGCTTCTGGCGTGGTGCAGGCTACATAACACGTATTCATTTCTGATCTGTACTGTCTGATCTCCCTTTGGACCCCCAGATCCATCCTCCACTCACTCTGCCTCACTCTATGGGCTACTCTGCAGTGGAGCAGGCGGAGCGAGGCATACGGGCTATTTCACAGATCCTTGTTATCTGGCTACTAATTGAGTTTGCCCAGTGGGATGCCCTGGAGGGACATGGGAGGAGGGAATTTGATAGTAAGTCTTCCCTTGCTCCTTTCCTGTTTCTGCATCATATTTCTGATAGAGACTAAGACCTTCAACACCAGGGGCTTCTTTCCCACAAATCTAGCTCTCACAGACTCCAATGAAATCATGTTCTCCCCTAGCCCCTCTGTTCTAGGAATTAGCTCATTGTAGTTTTTTTTTAATATTTTATTTATTTACTATTGTATCATTTTATTTTATTTTATCTTGGTGGGGGGAAATAATTAGGTTTATTTATTTTTAGAGGAAGTACCAGGGATTGAACCCAGGATCTCAAGCATGCTAAACATGCACTCTACCGCTTGAGCTATACCCTCCCACCTAGGAATTAGTAGTGGCTTTCTGATACTTATTTTGCTTGGTTCCTCAGTACACCCTCCCCATTGATTCTCTTCATTCTGTCTACACCTCTATATATAGTCACTTCATTGAATTTCTCCTGAAAATCTCATTTGAGGGTGCCCTCTTTGCCCAGCTGGAACCTTGAAGGATATATCATCCGTTTTCACTGTAGCTTTGACATTCAGCAATTCCTAAAGGTCAGCCTCTTCCCATCCTGTTATTTGCGCTTTACTTTCTCATGAGCTGATGCAGATTGGACCGGCTGGGAGGAGAGGAAGACACATAGAGAGGCAAGGTTTGCTCCCCTGAGCAGCAAGGGTTTCTGATCCCGACTGTAGCAAATCCTATCCATCTGTTTGGCTGCTCTTGCCTTGGTGACAGTGCCAAGCGCCCAGACAGGCTCAGAGGCGGCTGTGCTTCTGCAAACCCCTCCATGGCCTAGTTCATCCTCCGTACCACCCTCTCCTGCCCCCATGCCTCTCAATCTCATTCGGTAGCTCTATCAATATCAATATATCAAGTTGTCCAAACAAGCCACATTACCTCCTGGTTCCCGCTGAGCTCTGCCTCCCCA